ACATTGGTCCTCCACCTAAGCGTATTTTTTTTTCAATAATAATTAAATTAGTTTATAATATACATTTTTGTTTTGCTTATATTTTATTTGATTATTCCGAACCATTTCTTGGTTTAGATTCAATTCTGTGGTTCCTTTTACAGTTAAAAAATATCTGATTTTGGTTTAAAGCCGTGTCACGTTTATTATTCTTTTTTTCATTTTAAACCTTTATATGTATACATTTGATACTTCCGTACTGTTTCGTGTTTCAGATTTAAAGTTGCCTCATTTCTTTTCCAGGTTAAGGATTATTGATAACTTTAATGTTGCTTTCAAAAATTTCACATTCTTTATTTTAAAAATGACCTAGTTAAATCTAAAACCAGAAACAATACACAAAAATAAACTGTAAACATAAGGTATCCGACTACTTGCGACAACTTTTTTTTGAAAAAAAGAAGATATGGAGATTTTTTTGTGATTTTTATGTTTATTTAGTATATTTTAAAGAAAAAATCCTAAAATTGGTAAAAGAAAAAAAATATTATTATTAAAATGAGAAAACTACTAAAAATGTCCGAAAAATTACATAAACGGGGCCCGCTCTGTACAAAGATTTTATGAACAAATTCTCAATTTTCCAATTTTGATGTGTTACTTTGTTATTCCTGTTTGAAGTGACCTTCAGGATAATAGATATTTTAATTTTTACAAAAACTAGAGCACTTTATCTTAGTGATTATACAAAATTGCTTAAAAAAACATTGACTATATTCACATAAAGAACTGCAAATTTTGAAATAAAATAGTTATTGATAAATCTGAAGATCAAAACACTTCTACTGTTATGCAGAACATAAGCAAAAAATTTCAGCTAATTATTTTCAAAACTTTTTGAGCGATCACTGTCCCCGTTTGAGATTTTCGAAAAAAACACATTTCGAGTAAAACGCATTTTAAAGTTTGACATCTTGTGTAAAGTTATGGCATTTGCTTTTACTGCAAATGCCATAACTTTACACAAGATGTCAAACTTTAAGTTTTAAGTTTGTAAGTTTTGTTCTAGTGGAGGGAAAATAAAATACTTGGTATTGTTATTAAGCTAATAAAATGGTCTATAAAATAAAGTCAGAAAAAAATTGTCAATTTTTGAAAAAAATCATGGTTTTAGGGTAGTCGGATACCTTAAAGGTGAACATGTCCGATGGTATGAAAATATCTTTAAAAGTAGCCAGAGAGAGAGAGTACAGTCATTACGTTAGGCCTTGCAAGAAGGGTGTAATGTTCCATTACGCAATCAACGTGTAGTAAAAAAAAAGGCAAAAATATATAAAAAATAACCATACACACAAAAATACAACAGATTTATGAATTTAATGAGCATTAAAATATAAAATGGCCTTGCAGGAAACAAATTTTACTATCTAAAATCACAGCTACGTTTAAACACAAAATGTACGATACCCGAACACACATATAAAAAAATAAAGCAAATTTTGGCATCGCCCACCACAGTGCATTGTGGCAAAAACTTATAACAATTTCATTTGTGACAGTCAGTTAGCATTAATGAATAAAACAAAGTATCATCACATTCGTTTGAAATTCTGGAAAAGGATAAAATGTGCTTCGTTCGACATCGCTAGTCAACTGTAAACAAAAGCGTGTTGCCAATCCAACTAAAAACCCAGTTGTTGAAAAAAAATGGAAAAATGGTTTTAAAATTTAATTTTTAAAAAATCTAAAGGGAATTTCGAAAAAAAACTCTTCCTAGTGCACATCATCAGGGCCTAGAATAATTATGTGCCAAGTTTTATACTTCTGGGTTGCTTAGTTTGGGCTGTAGAGGTGAAACACTCACGCTTAAAATCTCTTTTATTAAAGTAGATTTATAAAATCTCCCAGCTGTATTTGATATTAAATGGTAATCAAGCTGAGTGGATGTAATTCAATGTCAGCATTGCAAGTGACGAATTAGATTACTAAAAGCGTGGCTATTTTCTGCTCTAAATACCTGTAATTCTGTCAATGTGTGCCTCGTAATTTAAAACAGAAATTGGATAGGAAGCACTAGTTGCTAGTTCATGCTTGACTCTTTCGTCTTACTTTTATGAGAACCTTGAGATAGTGGTATTGTTCAGCCATATTGTTTTTCTCTCTTCTTTTGAGTGTTCTACTTTAATGATAGTAAGGTGACTATATATATAACTGTCCTCCTTTAGGGAGGACAGTCCTCCTTTTATAGGTTCTGTCCTTCCTCGAAAAGTGTCCTCTTACTTCTCCTCCTTTTCAATAATTTAACACTGATCTGTTAATCTCTATTCAGAGATGAACCAAACATGTTTCCAATATGTCGATGAATGGTCTGAAACAAATATCACAGGAAAAAAAACAGTTTTCAATTGTGTTTTTTGACTTCATCGTAAGCAAAATTAGGCAGATATAGAAAATTGTGTTGAGTTTTTATCGAAAGAAATGCCTGATATTAAAATCGTCGACAGTTGTCTGTTTAAATAAATTAGAAGATTGGATGTAGATTTTTAAATTCTAATAAATTGGGACAATTGGTAAATCACAGCATTCTGAAATTGATCAAGATGGGTGGAAATACTTAACCATTTCAAAAATGAACACTTTCCGTATGCTAATTTAGTTATTCTTGTTGAATTTACTTTGTGCTGACCCAAAACTAATGCAGAAATTGAAAGAGTTTTTTCAGTTGGTAATGATTTTTGGACAAGTGAGAAATCAAAATTGAATGTTGATACTTAAGCTGTAGCACTTACTGTAAAGCTCAATATAAAGGATATTTTTTGCTCCGAAATTTCCGATGTATTAGAAAATGATATATATAGAGAAAAAAAATATTCAATGGGAAAATACTCTCTCGTTTAAGTAAATAATTAAAGGAATGCAAGCATAATTAGCGTATTTTTGTTTGAATTAAAAAAATGTTTCTCTCTCTCTCTCTCTCAAATATTTACGTTGTAACTTTTTCTTAAATTTTTCGCGCGCATCTTCCTTTTCTTAGTAAAAAAAAAAGCGTGTGTGTACTTATGTACGAACGTAAGAAGTTATACTTTGGCATAAAAAGATTAAAAAAATCTTTAGCAAGGGGGCAAGCTGGGCCAAGGGCGAAAGGTAGTCACGAGCAGAGTTGAACTATACTAACTTTCAGTCAATTGGACCAGCCAAACCTGAGATAATCACGATTTAAATAAATTTAAACACCCACACACGGACAATAAGACCAAAAACATGGAGGTATTAGACTGTATCTGGAGATAAAGTGAGCCGAATGGGACATCTGAGACCTCATATTGAATGTCTCGGCGGGAAGAATCGTTCCTGAGAAAATTAAGACAACCGCATGAAGAGCCTCCTTGTTATGGTCATTTTAAAATAATTAATACAATTAAATAAAATAGAAACAGGGCACCCAGAAACTCGAAACTCGGCCTGGTTGTGAGCAAACACAAGAGGAATCCATTAGAACCGGTCAGGAGTTGTAGTGGCAAATGGGGCGGTGCTAGCTCGGGAAAGGAAAACGAAAGTAATCCCCCCCCCGGAGTGGAACAATTGTGACGTAAATGGTCACGCACATCCCAACGATACACAGAGTAGTAGGTGATCCCAAAGTTTCATCCTTCTATCTCTGTAATATCGTTACGTTATCAAAAGATCGAACCCCATAGGAAAAACATGGGGATTCTAATTTTAGTGTTAACGCCGCCCCTAAGCGCACTATCAACACACAAATTAAAACAAATGAAACAGCTCAACGAGAAGAACCTATGGTCCGAGTTTCATTAACGAAGCTCAAAAATTCTCGGAGCTATGCGGGATTTTAAAAAAAAATTACTTTAAAATAATTTTAAAATGTTAAATATAGGTAAAGAATTGGGCTATGGTCCTGAAAAAGTACATCTAGGATGCTCACAGGAAGAGCAATTGAATCCAGCCGGTGCGTTCGACCAAGGTGGCATAGGATTCGAGTTATTTCTGGGGAAGTCTTGTAAGGGGGAAGGAGCCAATTCCACGTAAAGCTCGCGCTAATATGAAAATATGGCGGAACTCCACAAAACAAGTTCCAAGCTCAATTCCTTGGTGTGGGGGTGAAATTTTTTCCAGTCCCCATAGGATTAACGTGGGAGCATGATATTTTAGTGCTTAAGACCTCCCCATGCCTACACAATGAGAATGAAGCAGATGACTAGATGGGTCTCGACAAGTGGAACACTTGGTTCAAATTTCAAGTCCGAGACTCGAACAGGAGCCAAGATATTATGAATTTAAACAAATTAAAAAAGTTTAAGACAATTAAAAACTATGGAAGAAATAGCCGTATGAGCACACACATGAAATTATAATAAGTGGAAGAGCAGATAGAGAGGGATCGAATGACCCAGATCCGAATGGACTGTGAGGCTCGGGTGCCGAGATATTGGCCAAAAAACTGTAGGGGGGAATGCACAGGTAGGATGCGTCCCAACAGATATGGTTTATAACAATTTTTAGTATGATCCCCCTAATATCAGTGACATAGCACCAAAAAAGTGGTATTTTAAAATATTGGACAACAGTGTGCGCGCTCGCATTGGTGTCATGATAGTATGCGCACGCATCCGTGACGGTGAGCAAAAATTTGCCCTCATCCTTTTTCCCAAACGCCCAACAAGAAGGATAACTTCAAAAATAAATATACGAATACAAAAGGCTCTTATAATTTGCTACAATGTAATAAATGTGTTTATGTTCATCGCAATGTGTTCGTATTAAATACATTTATAACATAACTTGCAATTGTTATTTAAATAGCAAAAACTAATATTTACTCTTATGTTTTATGTACATGAAAGATTAATTTACTATTTTTTAAAAATTTCCTGTAAGTATATTTGGTTTAATAACAAAAAGTGTTCAAACAAATGCATCAGAGAAGCTCCGTAGGCGAAGGGCGATCTCTCCCTACTAGTAGTGACGTCACAAATCAGCGCAAAGCAAGGTTCGCAGACACGGAGGGTATAAGCTCAGTGTTAGAGCATTCGACTGCAAATCGAGAGGTTCCCGGTTCAGATCCGGGTGTACTCTTCTTCAGGGAAGTGAAGAGAATTTTTTTTTAGAGAATTTCGAAGGTGGTAATGATCTGTCCCGTTCTGTATATTTCTAGACAAAGCATTTTCGTATTCGTTCCTACGGAACGCAAAGCAAAGGTTAGCTGACGCGAGGTATAGCTCAGTGGTAGAGCATTCGACTGCAGATCCGGAGGTCCCCAGTACAAACCTGCGATCCCCTTTCTTCAGGGAAGTGAAGAGAAATATTTTTTTGAGAAATTTGAAGGCGGGAATGATCTGTCACTTTCTAAATATTTCTAATCGAAGCATTTTCGTATCCGTTCCTACGGAATGCAAAGCAAAGGTTAGCTGACGAGGGGGTATTACTCATTGGTAGAGCATTCGACTGCAGATCGAGAGGTCCCCGGTTCAAACCCGGGTGTCCTCTTCTTCAGGGAAGAGAAATATTGTTTTTGAAAATTTGAATGTGTGATCTGTCCCTTTCTGTATATTTCTAGACAAAGCATTTCGTATCCGCAAAGTAAATGTTCGCTGACGTGGGGTATAGCTCAGTGGTAAAGTATTCGACTGTAAATTCAGAGGTCTCTGGTTCAAACCCGGATGTCCCCTTCTTCAGGGAAATATTTTCCTGAGAAAGAGAATTTTCTGTCCTGTTCCGTATATTTCTAGACAAATCATTTTCGCATCCGTGACGGTTTTGCGTCACATCCGTGACGGTGTGCGCGCGCATCGTAAAAATTCACCCTCATCCTATTTCTCTAACGCCCCAAAATAAGTATAACTTCAAAAAACTAGTCACCGAACTAGTTTGAATGAAGTGTATTTGCACACTCCAAAACTTTCGTAATATTTAGTTTGACATAGGTTAGTAGGGAAGAGACTGGAAAGTCAATGGTTTTATGCATTTTTAAATAAATATTATGAATATTCGCATTTAATATGTAATTTAAATTGATGTTAAATTCACAACTGGACCTTACAAATCCATTTTTGGGCATGGATCAGTTATCGATTTGGATGTTCGTGTTGTTTTACAGAACTCAAAATGACAGTCTGTTGCTAACAGCTCGTGAAATAACGCCGGAACATTAAAAAATTAAATAAGAGAAAAGCAGAATCGATGATTTCAAAAGCAACCTTGCTATGTGATTGCAAGAACTTCTCTACATAGAATTTTACCCTGTTATTTCTGCATTTTAGATAGTTTACCATGTTATTTATGTACCGCAGTTGGATTGAAGTGTACTGGAGAAAAGGAATTGCCGTGTTTGTCATTATAGGAATATTTTATTTCTGCCACTGTAAAATGTTTTTGAATTTTTTGATTATACCTCAAACATAGTAATAAACATAAACAAGCCGGCTAAATTGCGGAATCGACCACTGGTTGGCGCGATTTATTTTTTGCACTTTTCCTTGAGATTGATGAGTGCTCCAAGTGTGGTAACCGAGCCGGTTTCAGAGCTGTGAAGGAGAAATCGTATCGGCGCATGCCCATTAGGTTTTTTTGGAATTGAATAGTTTTTTGTAGAGGGGGGTGTCGGTTCTCTAGTTTTTTCCCCTATTCTTATTATTTTTAAAAAATTTGTTAGTTATTACTTATTGCTATGTATATTATTTTATTATTATGGAACATAAAATTTTTTGTTGGTTAATATTTATGCAGATGATTTTAATTAGATTTATTCTCAAATTTATAAATATTTCCATTGTTTGGGTTCTCGTTTGTCGTTAGTTTGCATATTTGCGCCTACTTTTTAGAGCCACATTTTGTGCAGTGGCGTAATGGAGAATATTAGGGCCCCCTGCAAAGTCAGGTTTTGAGCTAAAAGCTGGATCTTACTTGGTGTCAGTCAGACTTTGGGCTCCATGAATCCTGTAGACCACCGCGATCAGGAGGTGAACGTTACGCAACTGATTTTTTGGAATATTTCACAGCTCGTTTTTAGCTTCGTTCTTCCGGTGTGGATACGTTTTTTCAAGGTAAATTTCTTTTTCTTCTAAATTTTTACAGATGGCCACCAATGACACTAGTAATGTTGCAAATGTGAATGAATGTATGTTGAAATATGCTGAGTATTATGAAAGGTTTTTTGCTAAATTGCCTGCATTGGGAAAGAAAGCTGTGTTTGGATGGTGTATGAAGACAGTTTAATTAGATGGTCCTACGTATGCATGTTTGAACTGTGGCCGCGGTAGCCTAGTGGTCAAGGTAACGGACTCGTGACCGTCGTGTCATGAGTTCGAGCCTAGTACCGCTGAAGACCCGCCGTGCAGGGGAGCGATGCACATTAAATCTGTCGGGAGCTCAAACGTCCTCTCGTTGGTGTGGTGTGGAAGTTAATAGAGGGGGTGCCAGTTCAGGTGTTGTTCTAGTCACTTGACCATGGTTCAAAATTACGAGGTCCTTTGCCAAAAGCCCTCAAGTAGCTGAACAGTGCGACGTTCACTCGACATTCACTCGAACTGTGGAAAAGCATGACATTGAGAGAAAGGAAGAGTTAAAAGTACAGTAAGTGATGGTTTTGAAAATAATGTACACTGGTGTCCAAATGTTAAGCATAATTGATAATTATGTGAATAAAGAAGGAACTGTAAATCAGAATGGCGGGAAAAGTGATATGCGAGTGTAAAATGGTTATAAAATAAGGAAGCAAATCAAAAGAGAATGATCATAATTAATTTTATTATCCAAAGTAGCAGTTTGAAATAAAACTGAGCATAGCAAGAATTCACACTTTAAAGAAAAAATGAAATAAAACATTAAATAAAATACTGATGCTGCAGTTTAATAAGACGTGTGGTCACCTCTGACAGCCAGGCACACTGCACAGCGATTTACCATTGTGGGCTCAAACGGTTCCAAGCTTCTTGGAGAGCTCTCTTCAGTTCTGTAACGGAGCTTGGTGGGTGCGAAAGGGCTGCAATTTGTCTCCCGAGCATATCCCATAATGCTCTATAGGATTTAAATCAGGGGAGTTCGCAGGCCACGACATGCGCTGGATGTTTTCCGTTTCTAGGAAGTCATCAATCAGCACCGCTCGGTGACATGGCGCATTATCATCCATGAATATGAAGTCAGGGCCGACAGCACCTCGAAACAAGCGAACATAAGGCTCAAGAACTTCTATGTATCTTTGAGCAGTCACAGACCCCGTGTCAAAGAAATGGAGGTATGTGTGGCCGTCCATCATGATGCCTACCCATACCATTATTCACCTTGATGGAAAATGATGTCTTTCCGTTATGTTTCTTGTTTCAAAACATGTTCCACGTTCTCTCCATATCGTTACCCGCCGAGAATCACTACTCAGACTAAACCGGGACTCGTTACTGAACTTTACATTGGCCCACTCTCCAATAATGTTAATGTTTCAAATTCCAGTTCAAACGAGCGCGTTTATGCGCAGACGTGAGGGGAATGCAAACTGCTGGTCTTCTGGCATACAGGCCAACATGATTGAGTCTTCTGTAAACAGTTTGTCTCGAAATTCGTATTCCTGTGGCGACTGTGAGCGCCGAACCCTGTGCTCTGGCAGTACTGCCCCTCTGATGTTGCGCACTTATTGCCAGATATCGGTCTTGGCGAGGGGTTGTGACTCTTGGTCGACCTGATACTGGTTGTCGGGTAACATCTCCCGTTCTTTGAAACCTGCCACAGTCTTGAGATCACAAACTGGTTCACATTCAGAATTTGAGACACTTCGGTTTGTGATCGTGAGGATTCCAGCATTCCAACGATTCTTCCTTTCGTAAACATGTTCAATTGGCGTCTTTGTGCCATCATTCACATTGTTTGATGGTTAACAACGTTCCTTCGCACAGCAGTTGCACGAAACTTGTCTGAACTGCCTATGCTGCGTGAATTGGTTTTCTCCGCGTTCCGACATGCGCCGGTGTTTCGCGCAGGACGTAGTCCACTGAAAAGTTTTGCATAAACCCAATGTGTCTTCTTCACCCAATTAATATCCGCAGGAAATTTGGAATAATTTTATGAATATTTACTCCATGTCTTTCGCATTTTACGATTTATGCTTAACTTTTGGACACCAGTGTATTTTATATATATATATATATTCAGTTTTAATGATTTATAATTATTTAACTGAAATTAATTTTCCTGGACGATTTTAAGTTTTAAGGAGTACTTTAATTTTGCAACGATTTTCAACTTTAAAGGGTTTTTTAAATGCTTTTTTGTGATTATTTCACTTTTCCGCCATCTTGAATTTTGCGCTCTTACATTGCGTCTTCTGGAGAGGTTTCTACTCCGAAGGACAACACGAGAGAGCACGCCGACTTGGCAATTTTTTAAAATCGCCCCAACTGGTGACCGATTCTGCAATTTCACCATAAAGCCTTATATTTGTTTCAGTAACAAAGTTCTACGATTTACCCTTGTTCTTTTCGGATTTTTGGTCTTTTCATCTCTGTACACTGCTAATAAATTTTTAATATTTTTCGTTCAGTCATTTAAAAATTAAAAATCTATACATTTCTTTCCATCCAAAAGATACAGTATAAAAATTATTTCAACATACAATAAAAATAATCAAGACATGTCTATAAAATTATTATTGTTCTGATAAGAAATTAAGGTTGAAAAAGGTTCAAATATTGTTATATATACTATGAAAAATGTTTAACTTTTTCTGTTATTTAGTATCTTCATTATGTTCTTAAAAGTTTTTGTTGTCGTGTGTTTTATCCTAGGATACATATAAAAGACGAGATATAGAAGAAATGGAACATACAATACACAAACACAGAAAAATATAGATTTTATATTACAAATGATTACTCCAGCATAGAACAGAAGGGGTGCACTGCTTTCCATTCGGGACAGGAATCCATTTCAGGCGAAAGTTGGACTTCTTTTCCCGAAAATACATCCATGCCTTATTTGGGATTCGAACCCAAGCCCACTCCTTAAAAATTTTTATAATCATAAAAAGGAAAAAATTCGTTTTATGAAAGGTTTTGTATAGACATGTTTTTTTAATACTTTCTGATTAT